TACAAGCAAGCATATCTTGTAGTCAGCCTGGAACATTACATGCATCAAAAACTCCAAGCCCATTTCTTGCTGTTTCTTCTTAAGAATTTGATGACTATGAATTTGGAAGTATTGAGTTTGTAGTTTCCCCAGAGAGGCCACTATGGAAAAAGTACACATTAATTGTCCAAATCCTAGAGTCAGGAAGGAGCTGAAACTGGAACCAGTATGCCTGATGGTTTTCTTGTACAGCTTTTATAGCTAGGGTAGGACCACACCCATGTCATTTCCAGTGTGATCTTAGGAAGTGACCCCCCCTCACTAAGTCTGAGTAGCCTCCTCCTGCAGCAACAACCTGAATTGTCCCAGGTCTTTTGAAAGCTACAGGTATACCTAGATGACTGATCACTGATCTAGTTGACATAGTAACTGCATGTATGTGCTGCTTTCTTTCTTATTCCCTTCTGCCATTTGTGATTTTGAATATTTTGTATGATTCTTCTTTGTTTTCTGTTTTACATATCCCTGGTACTTTTTCTCTTTTTTGTTTCTTAAGCCGCACCCTGTAATTTGTAAACTATGTTTACAGCTAATCCAGTTCTGTCTTTAAAAAGCATTCTACTACAGAATAATCACTGAGGTACACTAAAATAGCAAAATATTTGTGATTCTTCATCTCATCATTTATATCCTTTCTGCCATTTATTGCAGTCCACACAACAGACACACATGACAAGTTGTTGTCGCTGAGAACAAGGGTAAAAGATAGTAGCTTTTAATATTTGCCTCTTTTTTCTGAGATGTCTTTTTTGAAATGTGAGTCTAAACAATTATTTTGGTTTTCTTTGTCTGAAACGGTCTGTATTTCTCCTTTTCCTTTGAAGGGTACTCTCATGTGGTAGAGCTCTAGGTTGTCCACCTTTCATTGGCAATGCTAAATATTTAACTTCCCACATTTCTTTCTGGCACAGATTCTGTGGAGAAAACAGTTGACTTTCTTATCTTTGTTCCCAAAGAGATTAATTGTTTTCCCTTCTGGACTCATTCAAAAAAATTTTTTTTGTCTTTGATTTCCTGAAATTTCAACGTGATATGCTAGGGTAGAGGTGTAGCCCAGTGGTGAAGTACATTGCTTAGCATGCTCTGGGTTCAGTCCCAGTATCAACAAAACAAAACAAACAAAAACAACTAGTAGGACCTCAGCAAGTATGAGATGCTGTCTTGTTATTGACACTTAACTTGGCTTGATGCCTTCTGAGCTTCTGTTGACTGGTGTGTAATGGTGACTTATGGAAATTTTTTACTCATAGTTGCTTCTAATTTTCTCCTGTTCCTTTCAGTATTTCCCTTCTAGTATTCCCATTATACATATATTATACCTTTTATAGCTGTGTCATAGTTCTTCCATAGTCTACTTTTTCTAGTCTTTTTTTTTCTCTTTGATTTTCAGTTTGGGAAGTCTCTATTAACATATCTTCAGCTTTGAGATCTTTCCTCTGTCATGTCCTGTTTGCTAATGAGCCCATCAGAAATGCTCAGCACTTCTGGTAGGGTTTTGATCTCAAGCATTTCTCTTTGATGATTAGAATCCCCACCCTTTGCTCAAGTTCTCCATCTGCTCTTGTATGTTGTCTACTTTTCCCTTTAGATCCTTAGTATATTAATCACAGTTTTTAAAAATTAATGGTCTGATAATTTTAACATTCTTGTCATATCTGACTGGTTATGATGTTTTCTCATTCTTTCAAGCTCGGCTTTTTGCCTTTTAAATGCCTTTTCATATTCTTCATGATGTGTAACAGAATATCCCAGGTGAATAGAACTGCATTAAGTAGGCTTTTAGTAAGGTGGTGAGGCATGGGGGAGGGGAATGGTCTATCTTAATGATTCCATCTTGGTCTTTTAGGGATCTTGTGTTTCTGAATTGTGAATTTCTCAAGTTCTCAGAATTTCCCCTCCTCCTTAGTTGGGACTCTATGCATTGTAGCATCTGAATTAATACATTTCCTTTTCCAACAAGGTGTGGCTACAGTTGGTGTGTCTTTAGATCCTTGTTCATGGATGGTCCAAGGTGCCAAGATTGGGTACTTTGATCCCCTTTGAAGTTGCTGACCTGCTTTCTGTTCCTGTGGCTCCATCTTCATTAGAATATCTGAGAAGTAGTCATTCTGTCTTTGGAAATTCACAAATATTTTGCCTTTATAGTCTGAGAATTTTTTATTTGACTTCAGACATTTAGGTCTATGACCAATTTTGATTTACCAGGTTATTTAACTCTTGTCTGAAAAGATGACTCATTTGGAAATGTACATCAAAAGCCCTGTATTGCTTCACACACAATTGATATTGCTGTGATAAAATAGAAAAACAGAAACTAGCAAGTGTTGGTAAGGCAGTGGAGAAACTAGAAAGCTCGTGTGCTAAATGATAGAAGTGTAAACTGTGGAAGGCAGTGTGGAAGACTGTGAGACATTTTCTCAAGTGTGAATACAATCCAGGAATCTCACTTCTAAGAATATACCAAATGCATTGAAATCAGTACTCCCAAAGAGAAATCTGTACACCAATGGTCACACCACTGTCATTCACAATTGCAGAAAGATGGAAGTGAACCAAGTGTCCATCAACCATTGAATAGTTAAGCCAACTGTAGCATATGCAATGCATGCAATAGAATATTATTCAGCCTTAAAAAGGAAAGAAACTCTGACATGTTGCAAAGTGATCCTTGAGGACATTATCTGCCCTTAGCCAATGGCAGCAGTTTATACTTTCAGGTTTTGGTATTATTGATTTACTTATGATTTCCTCTTATCTAACTAACACATGTTACCTAAAATCCCTCCCTCTTTGACTGATTCTTATTTTGTTTATTCTTTCAAGTTATACTTTTAGTTTTTTTTTTCTTGATGGATAACATGATATTGCATTAAACAGGTCTTCAGTGAAGTAGTGAGGTCTGTAGAGGGGAAATGGTGTGTACCTTACGATTCAGTCTTGGTTTTGGGGGGACATTTTTGCTCTCCGACATTGATGTTCTCATCCTTTTGAGGTCTTTTTAAATCTTTCCTTTATTTTGGAGCTCCACCCTCCCTCCCTCCCTCCAATAGCCCTGGCTGTCCTGTAACTTGCTCTGTACACAAGGCTGGCCTCAAACTCACAGAGACCCAACTGCTTCTGCCTCTGGAGTGCTGGGATTAAAGGAGTGCACTACCACTGCTCAGGGAGAGTTTCTTTTATCATGTGTTTTTGTTCACTCATTTTTTTCTTATATACAGTCTAAATTTTCTTTAATCTCATTTAGTGGCCTTTAAAATTTCAGGTACTACATATCTAATATTCAGAAGCTTCTGCTTATGTGTATAAGATTAAAGTTTATGTATATAAAAGAAAGATCTATACATGTCTTATGTAGATACAGAGTTTCTCCTTTTATTTTTTTTCAATGAGTACTAGAGTATATGGTATTTGATATATGTCTATTTTGTTTCATTCTTTTAAATAATGTTAAATTAATGCTTCGATGGATAATTAATTTACTTAAATGAATTAAATTCTTTAGAGACATAGTTTCTGCTAGGCTGGATGTATCTCTAACAATACTTCTTCTGGCACTAGTTTGTCTTTGTTACTAAAGTAACTTTTCCTATGGATTGCCTAGTACCTTGCTCTAGGAGCCTTCCCTCTGCTGAGACTACTCTTTCATGGTCAGGAGTGAGGTACTGGCTGCTCAGACTTCTGATCTCTGATGCTTCTTTTTCATCTTTGGGAGTTTCACTCACACATACACAGTTCAGTGCTTAGCCAATGACTGCAGCATGTTCTCCCCAAACTCCTACCCCCAATCTAGAACATTTTAGGAATCTTGTTGCCTTAGCTTTCCCCTCTAATCTCTGTCCTTTCCTTTTGCTTCACTTCCCCACTCTGTCTTTGAACCCCTTTCTAGACACTAAGTTAGGGCAGTTGTAAACCTGCCTGTGTTGTTTCTTTTCTCTTTTGGGATCTGCTTCCCTGTGTTAGAAATCTTTGACTCCCTGTTTTGCTTTGTTACTTTTTATTGTTTAAAAGCATTTAATTGTTAAAAGCTGTGGGTAAGCCCTGTTACTGTTACTGTTACTGTTGCTGTTACTGTTACTGTTACTTTTACTTCATGCTGTCCCTGAGCTGAAGCCTTCTGTTTCTCCTTTTGTGTTTCCTTTCTATGTTTAGAGGGAACCTGAGTACTCTTAGTTAAAGTCATTGTTTGTCATGATAGCTTGTCGAGGCACCTACTGTTCAGTTCTTGTCTTGTCTCTGTAATAATTGAGGCAATGCCCTAAGTGAATGTGATAGAGACTCTGTTTGGCAGAAGCATTAGTATTTAGAATACACATAAACCTGGGTTCTGATTTGTCTCTGTGTACTTGGGATTTTAGGAGTATTCTTCAACTAATGAGGCACCACCCCTTTTTCCTTTGGAGTCATGGTCCAGGCTTGAATTTTGTTCAAAAGCCCAACATGCTTGATTGGTCAATTGTCAGGGCAAAATGAGCACTTTAAGTAGATAGAAAAAGATGAACTTGGAATAAAAGATATTTATTTCCAAATAATTGAAAAGGACTCTGGCTTCTGTTAATGATATAATTATAACTGTGAAAGAGGAAAGCTCAGTCCACAGAGAGAAAACATGGTAGTAGATGAGCATCATAAAACCACATGTCCTTAGAGGCCATATGCCATGGTTGCCAAGGGTAGTCCTGGTGTATTACTGATAGCACCTTGGTGTGGGTGCTTTACTTATGAAACCTATTTATGTACACATATGCAAGAATCCTGGTTTGAATGATTCATTTTATACATATACATGCAATATTTATGTGACCAACCCAATTACAAAGACCAGTTTACATAAGTTAAGTGTTAATTCCTTGGTAATTGTTGTTCCTTCGATGACACATTTACTGTTTACTTTGTGCGTTAGTTAAACAGTGGCTAGTGTGTAGTAACTAATAAACTTTTTTTTTTTTTCATTTTTCCTGCAGATGATCTCAATGCCACCCACCAGCACTGTGTTTTGGCTGGTTCACAGCCTCGTTTTAGTTCCACCCACCGAGTGGCAGAGGTAAGCAAAAAGAAAAATGTGATGATTCACACTTAACTGAAGGTGGCAGAAGTAGTTGAATAAGCAATTTATCATAGAGCTTTGGAAGAGTGCTTAACCAGAAACGCACTCTCATCTAATTTGCCTTTAGCCTTTATTTACTTACTTTTAGCTCTGGATTGTAGTGGCTGCAGTTTTTAAATTTATTCACAGTATAGGATAAGCTTATTTTGCCTTTTGGAGCTATTTCTTTAAAAAGAAAATGTCTATATTATTAGTGTGTGTGTGTGTGTGTGTGTGTGTGTGTGTGTGTGTGTGTGTGTGTGGGTCAGAGAACTTCTTATAGGAGTCAGTTCCTTCCTGTAGGTTCCAGGGATGAAACTCAATGTCCTCAGGCAAGTATCTTGCTAACTGAGCCATCTTACCAGCCAAGGGTTTTATTTCATGAAGTAGGTAAATGTTATTACATATGCTGATAACATTACACTTCTATGGGTGATCATGCCTGCCATGGTCAAGAGCAAAGAAAATGAGGTGAATTTGTTTGCTTGTGTATATATTATTTGTTTTCAAATGGCTGAGATCAACATTTGCCTTAATTTTTGGTCCGACAAGTAGACATATGAATGTAAATTTATGAGAAGCTTACATCGATGTCAGAGAACTTCCAAGGTCCCCAATCATGTTCCCAGCCCAGTGGCCTATCAACTGAGATCAGAATGGAAATTATAAGATGAGAAACAATTGTCTAGCAGTCACTCTAGGGTTTTAGAGAGCAGGGGAGTAATGACAAGGGTTATAGACTGGCTTCCTGTCCAAGTCTTAATTAATGAACAAACTAATTATGGGTTGCTAGAATCTAAGTCCAAGACTTTTCACATGTTAGGCAATTACTGAGCAACAACCCCCAGTACCCCAGCTTGTTGACTGTGTTTTGCCTTATAGCTTGACTTTTCAGAGGATAAGTATGGGGATATTGGCCAGAAGAAATTAACCTTGTAAAATGGCACAAGTGCAAGGTCTTGCTAGTCCTGAGGCTGCACAAGGCCACTGAGTCAGGCAACACCATGCCTTTTCTTGGTAGATGGAGTGTCATGATGTTGTATAGCAGAAAGGGCGGGCATATTTTTAGAATGCCAGCAAGCCCACTAGTCATTCTGTCTTCCTTTCTGAAATCTTTTCTTTTCTGTTCACTCATTCTTTGAATGTTTCAGTGTTTGTTTTATTGATCTGCACTGCAAGCATGGGAATTAGAGCCACCCACATAGCCATTCTGCCCAACTCAAAATGATAAATACAAACATACAAATTCTTGTCTTAGATTGTTGGTGTTGTTTCTTTGAAAGGTAAATGCCATTGGCAAGTGTCAATTAGTTCTAAGTACGTTCTGTTAAGAAGGAGGGAGGGTAAGAAATAGGGAGGGGATGGAATATTTATAGACCATTTGATGTGGTACAGGATGACTCCATTTCCTTTTGTAGTCATCTGTCTAGATATAATCCTCCCAAGAGTCCTGTTCTTGTCAGTCACTTGAGTATGTGCTGTGTAAGCATGTCTCCCCCATATCTTTCATAATCTAACCTGTAAGAGTAGTCAGACAGAACCTTTGGCCATTAAAGAGTAAAATGCTTGGAATATGTATTTGATGGGGATACCAATATTCTTGAATTCACATGATTCTTTGTATTCAATTTGATGTAATGCAATAAGTAATTGCATCTAAGTCTTTTAGAACAGTGAATTGAAAAATAATAGAAGAGGAGAGAGGAATATCAGAGACTCCTTGTGGGAGGTTAATTTCATCTCTGTGTTCACTAGAGTGGACATGAAGCAAGAGACAGTAAAAAGTCTCAAAGATGAAAACTTCTACTCAATGAGAGTTGCTATTCAGAAGAAGGGATTTTATTTCACTCATTTAGCAGACTTTCATTAACTGTCTGACACTCAAGGTATTCTTTTAGCCAGTTATAAACAGGAACAGGTGATTTATTAGTGTCTTCAAGATGCCTACGAGTCAGGTGTGGTGGTATATGCCTGTAGTCCTAGATGCTGAGGAAGGAGCTCACACATTCTGGTCCAGTGTGGGCTACAGATGATGCTTACAGATAGGAGGAAGAACAGTGCAGAATACGAGGTAGCAAAGAATGTAAGACACTGTGGTGAAATGAAGTTGCAAAGTTAGGACGTATCCTGCCTTCCAGCTTTGATTCCTTTTTCCTTGTGGACTAATTTCATGTTGTCTATTAGTTACTTTCAAAAATATTCTTAAGCTTAGTTTTCTCAGATTAACCATAAGTATCCTTGTATCTTTAGGCCACATTTTGAGCATTAATTCACTTTAAATAAAGAGAGGGGCTGTGTGTAGTGGGTCTCTCGGAAGAATACATTTCTCCAAGTCAGGCTGGGAATGTAGTTGAATTGGTAGAACACTTCCCTAATGTTTTTGATCACCAGGCATACCATAAGCAGAACATGTGGTGTGTGCCTATAACCCCAGCACTTGGGAGGTAGAGGAGGGAAAATCACAAGTTCAAGGTCGTCCTGGGCTATAGAGCAAGTTTGGGTCCTGCCTGGGATATGTGAGACCATCTCAGAAAAGAAAACTTACTGCCAGTCTATGATTCTTATATTCTCTGTGGTTCAAACTGCATGATATTTTAATAATTGGATACCTGTAATATTAATTACTTAAATGTCTTTTCTGTATATTTATCAGTCAGCAAATGACAGGAGCAGCAGGCTGCTCTTATGAATAAAGTTTTATTGGAACACAGCTACACTCAATTTGTTTACATACTGTTTACTGCTGCTTTGGCCTTTCTGAGAGAGAGCTGAATATTTGTGGCTTATAAGTACAAAATATTTAGTGGCTAGTTTTAAAATAAACACTACTAGTCTTAGTATGCATGATTCTGAGTATGTAGGATTTTGGGTAGGCAAGCATCCAAAAACTGAAAATAATTTTTAATAATCACTATTTTAGAGCAACTTTATTTCCAGAAAAACATGACTACTGAAGTAAAAACTGATAGCATTCAGTACTGATAACATTACGCTGAAGCTGTATATTCCTGCACATCTTGTGGGTTTAGTCTTTGGAGCTCCTCACGGGGCTGTGCACAGTGCCACAACAACACTCACTTCTTTGGTCTCCTAACAGTATATTTGAGGATCAAACTTAGGAGCTAATTCAGTAAAACAGGATTGATAAAGAGGCTTATGTAGCATGGACAATAGGGAAAGCTGGGCAGATCCTTGGTGCCTCTGATGAGTTAATGAAATTGACTCAACAATCCTGGGAGTGGTCAGTTTGAATCCTTATCTGTGTGTAGGTAATGAAAACCAGCACATGCTTCTGTTGGTGCACAGATGGAAACTCAAACTAGACATAGGTTCAGGTGACAGAATGTTTGTATCTTATTTAAAATGTTTCATTTCATCTTTTGTTATTGTTTCCACTGATCAAAGAAGGGAAAAGTTTCCTTCTCAAACTGCAGTGCACTCTTGTTTCTCTCAGTAGAAGAGGGAAAATAAATTACTTCGACTTTTCAGCCCTCATGTTTTCCAGGGTTGCCTCATCTTCACTCATACTGTGCATGCTTGTGTTATATGATTTACCTGTGCTCCGTCCCCAAAATGATTGGCTGTTGCACTAGTAGGAAGCAGATTGTCTTGTGGAAATGGCACTGTGTTATTCCTTGCAGTTAGTGGGACAGAGCGTTGTGTGTGGAGAAATGGGTTGTATGTGAGCAAAACTCTTACTATTGGCTCTTTTTATTTGATTTTAGTTTTATTTCCAGAATGTTCTGGAGATTTGAGAGTGTTTTTTTATAAACTTGAACTTTACACATAATTATTTTTTAATTATTCAGCCAGTTCAAAATTTTAAAAGTATATAAAGTTATATATTCTCTATTTTTTCCTTAGATAAACTAGTTCTGCCTTCATAGAGACCACCAAATGTGATCAAGTTTGTGTTACCATTTCAATGATAATATGTGTCAGCCTAGGACACAGGAACACATGTTAGTCTTCCCTGTACCCATATATCTTTTGTTTTGTCTCAGAAAACTTACTGATAATTACCTACCAACAAGTGATTCTTATCTTTGCATGGGGCTTGGGTTTTCAGATATGACAGCTAAAGCGTAAATAACCCAAGAAAGAAATAGAAAGCATGAACTTCATCACAAAGTTAAAAATTCTTTGTACTTCAAAGTAAACTGTCAACAAAGTAAAAAAAAATAGAGACAATATTAACAAGCCATGTATCTAATAAGTGTAATTAGAATATAAAAAGACTCTTTTAAAGTCAATAATTCAAAAGAGAAATGATTTTGTTTAAAATGGTGAATGAGATAAATAGACAGGTGCCAGTGAAGGTATAAAAACAGCTAAGAACACATGAAAAATGCACAGGATAGCTGAGAGTGCTTTGGTGGTAAAATCTGCTTGCCGTGTACAAAGCCCTGGATTCCCTCCCCATTACTGAAAGTAAAACAAAGAAATAAACCAAAAAAAAAAAAATTATATCAACATTAGTCATCAGAGGATTGCCAATAAAAACTACAGTGAGATACCGTTCTCACACACTAAGATGGCGAGAGTCAAATGAAGGCAATACATGTCGGCAAGGCTATTCAGAAACAAGATCTCAGTCTGTACTGCTGGCAGGAATGCACCATATTCTGTAGTGACTTTGGTGTGGACTGGCCCTTCAAGAAAGCTACTGGCATAGCAATCCTGTACCTGGCCATATGGCCAAGAGAAATGAAAACTTGTATGTTAATGCCCATAATAGCCTAAAACTGGACACAGCACAGTTGCTCATCACATATCCGTATAATTGACTACTATTTGACAATAAACAAGGTTGAAATACGGATGCACGCTGCTGCAACAGAGATGAACCATAACGACATACTAGTGTAAAAAGAAGACACAAAAGACAGCATATGCTGGGCAGTGGTGGCCCATGCCTTTAATCCCGGCACTCAGAGGCAGGCGGATCTTTTTGAGTTCGATACCAGCCTAGTCTACAAGAGCTAGTTCCAGGACAGCCTTCAAAGCCACAGAGAAACCCTGTCTTGAAAAACCAAAAGAAAAAAAAAAAGGAAGGAAAAAAAAAAAAGGACCACTACAGCCAAAGATTTTAATGACCTGAAAGGTTTAAAACAGGCAAGTGTGTGTGTGTGTGGGGTGTGTGTGTGTGTGTGTGTGTGTGTGTGACTTCAGCATCATTTCTTTATAGCACGAAGCAAGTTAGTGCTGGTGGAAATGACACTAAAGGGCAAGAGTTTCATTTAGAGTAACAGAATATCCTGGAGTTAATTGTAGTGATGGTAGTACAACTCAAAATATACTGAAAAAAAAAAAGCCTGATTGTTGCTTTAAATAGCTGTACTTCATGATATGAATTAAATTTCAATAAAGATTTCAATAAAGCTGTGACCAAGAAAGGAATAAAACCTCAAAAATGCAGGCCCACTCCTAAGTTCTTTATATCAATTATATATAAAGTTAGAAAGACAAAGTCCCTCATTTCTTTTTTTATGGCCAGGTTAGGTTTGGCAGGCTTAGTTCATCAATTGGCTCCACACTGACGGAGAGCGTAGGTTATCCCAGTTCTCAGGTATAGTAAATGGCATGCACTTGCTTGACTTCACTCCATACTTAGGAAGCAGAAATGAAAGTGGAATGCCTTTCTTGGTGGTTACCACTTAGAAGTAGGTAATGGGGCATTTTGTGAGTAGGGGTTCACCCCTCTTCTTCAGTGCTACCTACCCTCATGCACTCTGCACTCTGGGGTCACCATATTAAAATACATATTAGCCAAGCTTCTGTTGTGGACACAAAAACTTATTGTTTCCAAGGCTTATCTATGCCGTGTTGCATAAAGGGGCAATGATGGTTTCTATACCACAAGACTTGCTTGCAAAGGCTTTTCCACATGCTTCGTTTTTTAAAGGATTTATTTATTATGTTTACAGTGTTCTGTCTGCATGCATGCCTGCACAACAGAAGAGATCTCATTACAGATGGTTGTGAGCCACCATGTGGTTGCTAGGAATTGAACTCAGGACCTCTGGAAGAGCAGCCAGTGCTCTTAACCTCTGAGCCATCTCTCTAGCCCCCCATGTGCTTGCTTTAAATTATAAATATTAAAAGAAAAATATTTTAAGGACACATTTTCCTCAGACACCCAAAGGATATGTATCTTCTTATCATTCTAAGAAATCACTTCATTATCAAAATAAGTGAATTCATACTCCATCTGTATCCTTGGCTTCTCCAACATATGCTCCTTCAAAGGAGTATGTCCATTTGACCTCTCACATTTCCACAGGCCTAGAGAGCGGTGAACTAGCTGTCTCTATCCCTACTGATGATGAGGTCTCAGCTTTGCCTTGAGTATGCTTTGCAGCCTAAGCCCCATAGTTTTCCTAGAAACTGTTCTAGGAAGGATTGCAGCTTTTTCCTATATCTACATATAGGAAAGGGAAGAAGTTCTTTGCCTTGAATTTGTAATGTCACTCTCCCCCCGCCACACACACACATACACACACACACACTCACACACACACGTACACACACATTATTGCTGCTCTAGTTTATGTGCTTTGCATCAAATTTTCTAGTTTGTCTACCATTCTCCCTCATTGATGCATTCATAGCACAGGACAAAAATCATTATCTTTTGCTAACTGGTGATTCCCTGAATCATTGTTTGTTACATTTCTTCTACATTTGAGAATCAGTTTAAGGTCTGCAATATATGTAGAATATATATGCATATATGAGGTGTTGACACACCTCAAGGTGCATGTTATTTAGAGAGAGGAGTCCTACATGGTGCAGATAGCCCACAGTCTGTGGGACCAGATAAGGGCTGGCTGGCAATACAGAATCAAGGGGGCAGGCCACACTATAATTCTCACTTAGGAAGCATGAACTGTGTGGATGGCAGGTAAGTACACAGAGTAGGGGCAAATGTGAGCAGGAAGAGGGCATTGTGAGCTTGGAGTCACTCACAGGCTTGCTGTCCTTCTGTCTTGGCAGTGCTCAACAGGCACCTTGGATTATATTTTACAACGCTGCCAGTTGGCGCTGCAGAATGTCCTCAATGACTCGGATAATGGTGACGTCTCTCTGAAGTCCTTGGAACCTGCAGTTTTGAAAAAAGGAGAAGATATCCACAATGAGGTGAGGATGGCCAAGAAGTTGCTAGGTGTGGACTCACCCCTGCTTGCAGCTTCAAGAGGATCTAACACAGGACATTGGAGTCAGAGGAGAGGGCAGCTTACACCAATAGTCAGAGCCAGCATGTTAGTGCTAACAAAACATGGCAGCCATACAGCCATACAGCCATACAGCTTCTACACAGTGGGAATTTATCCTTTTAGTCTGGACTGGGAAGCCCAAGAGCAAGGCACTGGCAGTTTGGGTGTCTGGTTAGGAGCTGTTTCTGGATTCATAGATGGTACCTTCTCATTGTGTCTTTGCAAGGTGGAAAGGACAAAGCCTCATTGGGCCTCCTTTCTATCTGCATTGAGCTCTGCCCTTGGGCTCAGTTACCTCCCCAAATGAGCTGTCACTTTGTGGTGGTTGGGATTTCACTATAAGAATTTGGGTGCAAAGGGCACAAACATTCAGACCTTTGTTTTCTTTGAGATGGTTTCCACAGGAAATATAGCATGGCACCAGAAGGGTTCCATTATATGAAGTAGAACCTTGAGACAAGGGAATTGACTTTTCTAATGGATTGGAATCATCTTCCAAGTCTATGAGTAGCTTTGCCCTAACTTCTGCATGAAGACACTGACTACCACCCACCCCCATGAGTTTTCCCAATACAAGCATCCTTGCAGAGGGACTGCAGCATAATACAGTCAGTGGCTTCCTGGAAAGAGGCAGAAATAAAGAGACTTGGGGAGAATGGTTGCCCACCCAACAATAAGTGGTTAATGCTATGCCTTACATTTGTGAGAACAGCTGCTTTTCTGCACTCTGTGAGCTCAGTGGGTCTGCATCATGAGGTCAGAGCACATCCTAAGATGACTCTCAATTCCCACATACCCAAACTATATGTATTAACTGTTTAGCTTTTTTCAACTTTTTTGCATAAATGACTTTTTAAAAAAAGAAACTTTGTACTACTAAGTGGACATCTTCTATAATTAGTCAAAAGCAAGTGTAAAGTCGATAACCATATTCACTGAAGACAGAACAATCCTTAGACTCATCTACAGGCACCCTTATATATCTGCCTGCGCCCTTCTGTCATGCTAAGATTTGTGGTATTGGTCATGCAAAGTTTTTTAAACTTCATAAGTTTAAAAAAAATGTTGACTTTTATACTTCAAATGAATGGATTTTATTGTGGGTGAATTATACCTCAGATAAAGACATAAGGATAAAGGTAAGATTAACAGGTGGTGGAGAAAGGTTCAAATGGGTGGGCAATCTCAAACTTTCTCATGATATAATGAAAACTGCTGGAAAACCTGGACTACGACACTGCTGCTGCTCATCCTGTCAAATAATGATCTCTGAGCTTTCGCCAGCCCCTCTTCTGATTGCATTAGGGAAAACTGGTAAAGAAAACAGACATTCTAGTAAATGGAGAAGGGAAACAAGAAACCCAGAACACTGGCAAAGTATTGGTGTGCTGACATTGCTAGTGCTACAGAAAACAGAACAGAACAAGATGGCAAGAACCAGAAAGCTTGCATCTCTACTGGAAAGAAGAGGAAGGGGCGAGCCATGGGGGCGGGGCATTTCAAGCAGAAGGAGCAACCATTGCAAACACCATGGGGCAGAGAATGCTTGGTGTTCATGGGACAGTTTAGCAGCAGTGTGAGGGAGGGTCTGAGGCTACCAGTTGTAGGAAGTGGGGTCACAGGGACAGTGTTAGCAGATGTATAAATCCTGCTAAGCACAGTTGTGAGGGAAATTGTTACTGAAGGAGTCTGAGCAGATGAGAAACAGTGTCTTTACCCATGGGCATAAGATATCTTGTAATAGCTTTAAAAGGGGTTCCCTATCTTGTGAGCAGTTCTACACTTTGGTAAACTACATCAGAATCCTCAGATTTCAGAGAATATTGGTTGCCTCATGCTAATGCTGAACCCAGGGCTGGGTTTCCTTCCTTCACTGTGCCTAGTAAGTGTCCCCATTGGAGATGTTGCTCATAGATAGAACTGCTTGAAGCCATGCATTTATGGACCTGATGACCTCATTGGGTCTCCATCTTTGTGCAGAATCTCTAATCCAGGCATTCACCTACTCTGAAAGAATTCATGACTTTCAGAATCAGGTCAGCAAACTGGGTTCTGACTTTATCATGCATGTATGTTATTTCATTTTGCTGTCTTCTCCGGTCTTACACGGATGTAGTGTTTTGTTATCTGCAGTGGACAGGGAAAATGCAAAACCACACAGCAGAATATTGTCATCAGAATCCATCTGCCACAGAAACCAGCTGGCTGCTTTGACATTGTGTCAGGGAGGTAGGGCAGCCCTTGAGAGTTAGCCCTGAGTAAACAGATAAAAAGTCTTATAAATAAATGTCCCCTGTGCCTATCATGGCCACCACCTCCTCATCTCCCACTCTCCAAAGTCATCTTAACTTCAAGGTTAAGTTGGTGTGTCAGCTCATCATTAGGAGTTGTTCTGTTGTCGTACAAGCTGGCCTGGGATGGGGGTGGTTCACTCACCCTGCACTGTTTTCTTAGTAGTTATCTAGTTTCTTGTTTGTTTTCCTCTTCCTTCAAGGCCATGTACCTTTGCTGGGCTAATTATAATGAAGCACTTTGAATACTTTGAAGCCATCTGGGCTTCAGAATAGCTTGTTTTCTAGCAAGGCAGCATGGGAACTTCAGTTATAAGAAGGCAGTGATCTTTTGGTACCCCCAGTTTAAGATGCAGAGAAAAGATTTCAATATCTTTATAAACAGAATTCCCTTCTTTGTTATTAAATCACCTGTTTCTTTCTTCAAACCAGTCCAGTGTGTTGTAAACCTAACAATCGTCTAGCAAGTTTCTCCTGGAAGTGACACAGTGGGTAGCATGTTGGATTCTCAGTTTCTTCTACTCTGCAATGGCTTTGTGTGTGTCTGTGTAACCGTAGCCAGGCACGCCCCTGCTCTAGTGACCTTAGGGCTGAAGAGACAATGCAGATGGTGTGGTGAGACGTATGTCCCTTAGGACAGGTGCACAACCTCATGAGCAAACCAATTGCCTGACCTGAGGCCAAACCAAGAGTCTAAACCAACATGACAGAGAAAAAAGCAGGCACTACTTGCTTTCTTTAGAGGAGTGGTGGTGATGTGGTGATAGTGGTTTTGAAATACGGTTTTGGAATGTTTCTTCTTTTTGTCATTTTTGTTTTCCAAACAGACTCTCACTATGCAGCTCAGGCTAGACTCAGACTCAGTCTTCTGCTTCAGCCATGTGAGTGCTGGGATTACAGGTGTGCACCGCCATCGCTGGCTGTTGTAATCTTTCCTCCACATCGTCTGAGTGCTCACTGACAGGTTCAGGCAGACAGATGGATCCTGATTCTTTCCCTGTGACATATTCTCTTGGTATTTCTGAGAGAAGGCTAAACTTGGCTAATCTCTTTTGGCTGTGCTGTGGAGAAGGCATGCATAAGGTTATGAACATGGTCTCCTGAGTTGTGTATGTGAACCTGAAGCCACTGTACACTTGCTTTCATGGTTCCCTGAAGATGCAGAAAGCCTTTCATGATCTGTGGGACTCTGAGCTACAGCCCACCTTCTTCTGCCCATGGGATTTCATTTGGCTGTGTATGGGAATTGCTTGGAAGGTTGAATAGTAATCTTCATTATGTGCATATTAGAAATCAGGCAGCTCCTTTAGAGCTCTTCCTGTCTCATGGTCTGTTCCATTTCCAGTCATATATGTGCATACGTATGCATGCATGCATGCATATATAAACATATACATACAGATTTCTATCTCAATTCTGCTATATTTTTGTCTGGCTTCTTTTGCTTAACATAATGATCTCTAGTTCTATTATTTTCCTGAAAATGCCATGGTTGCAGTTTTTGTTGTTGTTATTGTTTTTACAGCTTAGTAAATTTCCACTGTGTATATACACCACATTTTTTTAAATCCATTCATCTACTGATGACTATCTAGATTGGTTCCAGATCTCTGCTGTTGTGAATAGTGTGACATTAAACATAGATAGCAGGTAACTCCATAGTGTGCTGACTTAGAGTCCTTTATGTATACATCTAGAAGTGGTATACCTGAATCCTACGGTAGTTCCAGTTTTGTTTTTTGAGGGGCCTCCATATTAATTCCATAATGTCAGCACCCATTTATACTCCCACTGACAATGAATAAGGGTTCTGATTTTCCCACCTCCTCACCAGCATATGTTGTCATTTATTTTCTTGATAACTTGGCTGTGATGGAATTTCCAGGTGGCTTTAATTTGTATTTTTGCTAATGGCTAAGGATGTTGAATGCTTTTTCAAGTGTTTATTGGACACTTGTATTTCTTCCTTTAGAACCGTTTTCAGTTCATTCTATTTATTCACTTGATTTGATTTTGTGATATTTAGCTTTTGGAGGTCTTTTGGAGTCTAGGTAGTAATACCCTGTTGGGTAATATATTTGATAAATACTGTTTTCCTGTTTTATGGTTTGTCTCTTCACTTTGATAGTATCTGTCTCTGAGCAAAAGCTTTTTAATTTAATCTCATTGATAATTCTTGAGACTGTTTTCTGTGCTATAGAGGTCTTTTCTAGAAAGTCCTTGACTATGTCTATATTCTGAAGTATTTTGCCTTTCTTAGCAATTTCAGAGTTTCAAGTTTTATAATAAGGTCTTTGGTCTCTTTTGAATTTATTTTTGTCTGTGGAAAAAGATGTAAATCTTGTTTCTTTTATATGTGCTTATTCAGTTTTCCCAGCACCATTATTGAAGAGGTTGTAATTTTCCCAATGTATCTTCTTGACATCTTGTAAGAGATCAGATGGTCCCAGTTTTGTGGGTTTATTTCTGGGTACTCTATTAAATTCCATTGGTCTGATTTTGTGTCATTGCAATGCTTTTTTGTTGTTGTTGTTACTATGGCTTTATGGTATATTTTGAGATTATGTGTTATGATTCCTTCAGCATTGCTTATTCAGGATTGCTCCTGGTTTATGGGGGTATGTTATACTTCTATATGAATTTTAGAATATTTTTCTACATCTGTGAACAGTGTCATTTGAGTTTTATGGGAACTGTATTGAATTTGTAGATAACTTTTTGTAATATAATTATTTTCACGATATCCTGCCAATCCATGAGTATTGGGGTCTTTCTGTCTTCTAGTGTGTTTCAATTTCTTTCATCAGTGTTTTATTTCATTGTAGACATCTTTTGCTCTTCTGATGAGGGAGGAATTATGAATGGAGCTTCCCCCTTATTTCTTTCTTGGCAAGTTAGAGGTGTATAGGACTGGATTTCTGTGTGGATTAGCATCCTTCCTCAAGGCAGAACGTGGTTACCAGGTGGAAGAGTTTTCTAAGGTGTCTTTATACCCCCTCAAGTTTAGGATCATGTTATCTGTATATAGAAGTCATTTTACTATTTTAAATTTGTATTCCTTTTCTTTCTCTTGCCTTATTTCTCTAGTTAAGATAGGAAACATTATAGTGAGTAAGAGTGGGAAGTATGGGAAACCTTGTCTCATTCCTAATTTTAGAGGCTTTAGTGTAACATTGGCTATAGACTTGTGATATATATACCCTTTGTTCCTTCTATTTGTAGTTTATTCAGGGATTGCATTATGAAGGGACATAGACTTTGTCAAAGGCCTCTTCTGGCATCTACTGATGTCTATAAGATGTCTGCCCTTACATAATTTATGTGCTTTATTACATCTTTATTTGTATATGTTGACCCATCCTTGCATGCCTGGAGTGGAAACAATTTGGTCATGACTTATGGTATATTGTTGTCCTCCTTTGTTCTTGAATTTGATTTGTAAATATTTTGTTAAGAAATTGTGTGTCTGTGTTCATTAGTGAATTTAGTCTATAGCCCTTGGTTGCTGTTCTTCTCGATTTGAGATTGTGGTAACACTGGCTTTGTCCACTATGTTTATTTGCCTGCCTTCCCTTTCTGTTTTATGAAACAGTTTAAGGAGCACTGGTGTTGGTTCTTCCTTGAACATTTAGTAGAAATTGGCAATGAATTAATTCGTCTGGTTCTGGGGTACTTTTGTTATTTTGGGACACTTTTGTTATTTTATCAGTCCCATTGCTTTTTATGGAGTTAAGTTGTTTTATGTCTTGACTTAATTTTGGTAGGTCAGATATGCTGGGAATTTATCCATAACAAGGAGGCATTTTCTAGTCTTCTATCTTCCCTGAACATCCAGAACCCTGATTCTTTAAATACAGAAGTTACATTTGGTTTTTTACTGGGAGTCCGAAGTGCTTATGGCATAGCATGTATGTGGAAGTTAGAGGAACCATTTCACTCCTTCTGCCATGTGGGTTCCAGGGCTCAAACTCAGGTTGATGGCCCTGGAGACAAGCACCCTTACCCACTGAGCCAAGCTACTGAGGTTCCTGAGGAGGAAAGAAGCTTTTGTTTGTTAGCATGGCCAGGGCTCTGCATTTGCTTTCTAGCCCTATGGCAGAGTCCCGCATATGCCCTCTTCCTGCTTCCGAGGGCTCCATCACAGAAGTACTGGCTCCTGTACACTGATAGGTTGATAGGCTTGTTGCATGTCTTTTCATTCCCTGTGTACCAGGGTGGTCAGGGCTTCCAAGTGTTGTCCTCTTTAGTGGAAATAACTGGCCCGAAGGTTAAGAAGCTGTCGGAAACCACTTTACCTCTCCCTAACTTCAGGCTGAGGCTCTGCAATGAGACTGCTCTGTCAGCGTCAACAGTTTCATGAGAAACCCATTAAGAGGCTCTCTTGGTTTTTCTCTTGTAGTAAATGTGTTGCTAAACCTGGATCTTCCCTGAAATTGAACTGTGGCCATATTCATTCTCCTTTCAAAGTATTCAGATTTACCTCCTGTCAACCACTGTCTTTTAATGCCACAGATAAGGCTTAGCAACTGTCTTAATGTCGCCCACATTCCTGCTTTGTTTTGTTTTGTTTAAACAGCTTTAGCTGAAATCAGTTCTACACATCAAACAAACATTTATTTAACGTAAACCAAAAACCTTTCGTTAGACTAGATCTTCTCCAGTTTCTTACTTGAGCCTTTTTCACCATTGTTAATCTTCACAAGTTGCTTTTTGTTTGCTTCTTGAAAGTTGAGTGTAGAGAAACAGCCCACAGTCCTCTGTGGTCACAGGTGATGGTGACAATAGTTCAGCTGTGTGTGTGAAATGCAATCATTCTGCAAAGCAGACACCATGGAATGGTTCTTGGCTCACTGCAAAAGTAAAGGAGTTTTGGGGTGAGATGGAGTTGTACATTGATGATAGTATCTGAAGTTCAAGTGGAAGACAAGCCATAGAAGACTTGTGTGCACAGTGCTGATCAGACTCACGCCTGTGTATGTTGAGACTGTTTCTATTGCAAGGCCCAGACAACTAAACCTGAGTCAATTTGAGTGGAAAGGGGCTTTGGAGATAGTCAGTGGCCATCTCCAGGACCTGTATTTCATCTTCTTACCTTATAGTCACTTCTTGCCATGTTGGCTCCAGTTTGACAGCAAAATGTCTACAGGCTTCTTCTTGTGTTTTTCTAGTCTTGAGATCTGTTTTTCCAAAATCTAGAAATGGGGGAGTGAGGGATGTTTGGCTTAACCCTGGCTTTCTACTTCTGCCATTCGTATTTAGCTGGAGCTCTACCTATAACACAGGACTGAGCCTGAAGAAGGGATAATGGTGGGAGCTGTATGTCCATCCTGTGGATAGGAGCAATGCCTCTAGGTGGTCAACACAAACAGCTTAGCAGTTTCCCAGAAAAGAATGTACATCAGTACCTTCTATCTTTGCTACTGTTTGCCTATTGCAATAGACCCTTACTGAACCAACAAGTGAGAACCTTAATGGCTGTGTAGGAGGTTGAATGCCTCAATAACTCATTATATATTGTTTGCTTATATGGCTAAGATTATCACCAGCTCCTCCTGGCCCCTAGGTAAGTTCTTTCTTTTCATTCTAAGAAATTGACACATGATATTCTTAATATCTGTTTGTGTCATTGCCTTCTTAGCTTTTACTAAAAACGTCTAATTGTTTGGTTATGACTTTTCTGTCGTTCCCAGTGGAGGCTGCTTGTACTCCAGGATCTGAATGTTTGTTGTGTCTGCCTAAAATATGTAACCTGGCCTGGATTGTCTTCCTAGCAGGACCTCAACTCTGCGATTTCCATTTTCTTAGCTTTCAGAATGCTCTGGAGGTACCAGGGTGTGCTGGGAACTGGTTAGGCCAGGCTTCTCTCACCTTTCTCGCCCTGTCTATGAAGTTGCCAAAGGAGAATTAGGTGGGGAAGTCATTGTCCTTGTTGGTCTAGCACAAGGACATTCTAACCGCCACCTTCTGGTTCTGGTTCGCAGGTCGAGTTTGAGTGGCTGAGACAGTTCTGGTTTCAAGGAGATCGAAACAAAATTTGCACCGATTGGTGGTGTGAACCCATGACTCAGCTGGAGGGGCTGTGGAAGAAGATGGAGAGTGTGGTAAGTGCATGAGGGCTGACCACATTTTCTGGGGTACTGCACTGTGCAAATCTTCAGCTGTCACAGGCAAATGTATATGTTATCAATCTACATGAGTGTGTTAGGTTACTTCCTGTAAGGTAATGGGAGCAGCCTGCAATTTTGTCACTGGAGCCTCAGTTCATTTCTGGAAACATTTCTGATATCCTTCATAGAAGGCACTCTGCCAGACATAAGCTGCAACACACCATGAGAACAGGGCAACAGCAGTATCCAGCACTCATTTGTTTTTATGCTACAGCCATTATTCAAAGGGTCTTCCTTCAGCAGTTGTGAGACAGTGTTATGAGCCCTAACTTATTTACATGTGAAATCTTAGTTATAGAGAAATTAGGTGCTTGTCTAAAGTCACTGAGTAGACAGTTGAGATGGAAGCCCAGGCTGCAGAGTGCATGAGTTAAGTCTGCATGACCTAGCAGTTTAGGAAGGAGAGAAATGTGGATGACACCACCTATTGCTATAGCTAAAATAAAACTATACAGTGGGACCTAAAAATAAATAAATAAATATTAAATAAATAAATAAATAAATAATCATGGGCTGGCGATATGTCCCAGAATGTAAAGACAGTAGCCACCAAACCTGGCAATCTGGGTTCTATCTCAGGGACGCACATCATGGAAGGAGAAAATAGACTCTAAAGTCATCCTCTGCCCTCCACATATTTGCCATGATTCACATCAATATCAGCTTCAGGTCATGACTTCTGGGACTGTTACGAAGGTGCTGGTCTGGTTAGAGGCCCATGTGGAGAAGAGAGGATGGGGTGGGCTATCTGGGAAGAACATTAGGTTTTGTAAGTGTGAAAACAAAATCAGAAATCGGGGCATTTATGGTATGCAGAACATGAACATCAGCTAGATGGCAAATGGAAGCCACTTGGTAAGCCTCAACTTGAATAACAATAACAACACTAAATTCTTACATTGCAGTTTTAAGAGTCCTAAAGATTGCTGCCACTTAATGTTCATGATGACCCTGTGGGATAGGTTTGGCTTTTGGCTCACTTTTACATATGAGGAGATAGGAGCTCAAAGGCCTTACATAACTTTCCCAAGGTCACCAGCTAGTAGGTGGGAGAGCTGGGATTTGAACTCTAGAAGGCTTGCTCTAGGCTTCTTGCCCTTTGTCCGCTCACTGATCTGCCTCCAAACACTTGAATTTGGAATGTAGAGGAAAGGCGATAAAAGCCTGATGACCTCTGGAGAGTGCCACTTCACAGATTTGGAGTGTGCTGAGAGCAGTGAGCTCATCTGCAGGGTGCACAGTGATCGCCAGTACCCACACATAATGTTTTTAGACAGCTTTATGAACCTATGGTTGGCATACAGCAAGTTAAACAAGCATATGTATACAGCTTGATGAGTTGAGGGATAAATATACACCTATGATGCCATAGAAATAGCCCACATTGAAACCTATCTGTCACTTCCAAAGGAATTCATTTGGCCTATCAATTTAGTGTTGTTGTTTTGATAAAGATGTTAACATAGTATCTAATCCCTATTTTATAATAATGAAAATAGCAAGTTACAAATATGATCAGAATGTGTATCTCTAATCTCTGAGATCCTTTGCAAGGATCAGTGTCTGGGAAAGCAACACGATTACCCTCTTAACGTATTAACAGACTCAAAGATAGATTTCCCCAAAGCCCCAAGTTAGTACAAAACAGAGCATTGTGTTGTCAGATTGGAGGTGAAGAGTCCTTCTCTGCCTGGCTAGCTCTGTTCAAGCTTGGGGAGAAAATGCTGTTAGGATATGCACAGAAATCCAGATATTGACCATTTTACATATGTACTTAGAATCCTGTTTGCCGAGGCCTAATTCTTAGACATCAGCCTGACTTTGAAATTGTAATTTAATCAAGTTGTAAAGTTAGATTTAGAAACAAATAAGAAAAGAACTCAGTAATTTTATAAAATAATTTTTAAAAAGTTTTTATTGCTTTCATTTAGGGGTATTTTTCCCTCAAGTGAAATTTTTAGTATTCTGATCATACCAGTGATGTTCATTATTAATTTATTGAAAAGATATGAGTGTAGATGCATGCCAGTGTCTCCATATGTGTATACACACATTTGGTAGATATGAGTGTAGATACATGCCAGTGTCTCCTAAGTGTATACACACATTTGGTAGATATGTGTGTAGATGCATGCCAGTGTCTCCTATGTGTATACACACATTTGGGAGATATGTGTGTTGATGTATGCCAGTGTCTCCTATGTATGTATACACACATTTGGTAGATATGTGTGTAGATGTATGACAGTGTCTCCTATGTATGTATACACACGTGGTAGTATTGGCACATTAGTTAAAGGAATTATCTTCTATTCATTGTATTCTACCAGGAAAAAAAAAATACTAAAAGGAGTAGCAAAAAAAAGAATTTTCCAGAGCACAGTTCTTTCTCTGAAAAAAAAAAAAAAAAATCAATGGTTCAGTGTCTCTCCCGAATACCATAGTTGGATCATTATCATCAGAGTGAGGGTTTGGGCCAAGATAAAAAGCATTGTGCTTTGGGCCTTTAAAAATGATTTCTAATAAGCTTGTGATAAGTTGTTTTTGCTATTGGAAGACACAGCAGAGAATAATCTTAGAAAGAGTCCCTGGCTAGCTGGCTCTAGTGCAGTGACATGTGGTATTTGGGTATGAGGGTGAAATAGGTATTGGCCGGTGGGAGTCTGGCTGTCAGCCCTTCTCCGGCTTTTTTTAAACTTGTAAGCAGTAGGGGGCAATGTTGAGCTGCCAGTTGGAGGTCCCAAGATGCTGCCTTTCAGGAAAATACATATGAATGTCCCATTAACTACCAAGAATTATCCCTGTTGCTTCAAGTTAACTGTAATCTCCAAGATTCTGTAACACAGGAAATCAGTTGTGGGTTCACAAATTCAACAGCAATTTCACATCAAAAGTGCAGTGTTTGGTACACATTTAGATTCTGTGGCATTAAGCTAATCGAAAGGGCATTTCTGAATGTTCAGACTTTTCTTCTAGAGAATATATTACTCCAAATTATGATTTCAGACAAGCGATTCTTTATTATCTTTCTGTTAAAAAAAACAGTTATAAAGTCATGCAAGTGTTGTGGAAAGATGTCTTTGATCAATGCATTTTGTCTGTACTATAGTGTATGTTCCATCTTTTTGTTTTTGTTTTTCGAGACAGGGTTTTTCTGTGGCTTTGGAGGCTGTCCTGGAACTAGCTCTTGTAGACAAGGCTGGTCTGGAACTCACAGAGATCCGCCTGCCTCTGCCTCCTTAGTGCTGGGATTAAAGGCGTGTGCCACCAACGCCCGGCGTGATCCATCTTTTTCAATGAAAAAAATAAGACCTACAACCTTGGGCCCTGCATGCAGTGCTTTCCCCCCTTTTTGATGAGTAAAGCAGCCTTTGATGGCCCTTGTACCAGGGAGAGGCGAGTGTCATCATTTCTCTCTGTCTTTCTGACCTTTTTCTCATGTGGTTGGGAGGGGTAGGAAGCCTAGAGGAGAATGGAAAATGAATTTTGAAATAGCTCTTCTTCCATTAGTAGTAATTACTGCACATGTTATAACCAGCCACATATCCAGAAAGTTTAGTCAGCTATACATAAACTCCCCTGGCCTCTGCTGCCCACTCCCTGTCCCAGCAGGCACACTCTGGCGCACTGTTTGTCCTGCTATTCTTTCCTGGAGGACAGTTTTACCCCATGCTTGCTCTTGCGATGTAAATGTTAAACCTTATATTTGAATGACATTCTGATAAAACATCACATCTCCCCAGATTATTGCTTTGTGAATTTGCTGAGCATTGAGCCGGGAGCAGCCTGACCCTTTGCAGCACGGTCAAGCCTTTCTTGCCTTCTTACTCTCCACTCCAGAAGTCTTCTAACACTGAGCACTAGTCACAGATTTGTATTTCATTTTTTTTCAACCAACCCACTACCTCTCATCCAAGATTATCATATTATGAGGAGACTCCTCGGGATAGGAGAGTTATCATTTGAAAGAAACCGTGCAAGCTTTTCTTGCCAGCTAAAGAGGAGTATGAAAAGCTGAGGTCTCCTGTGAGGCAACGAAGTCATGCTGTGGCCTGAGATCCAGTGGATAGGCCATTTGTCTCCCAGGGGCTGGTATCACTCTTTGCAAAACTGACATTTATTTTACCTATAAAAATGTTTTAACACTATCAAATTCATGGTGAGACTGAAAAGAATGCTGTGTGTGAAATCCTCTAAATTGATGACATTTATTCATTTCCTTTTGACCTTAAAAGCCTCCACTTGGTACATACAATCCAGTGGAATGATACCAGACGAGCATCCCGAGGAAGCACTCTGAGAAAAGCTGATGATTCATGCACTGCGGGGATTTCTTCATGCATTCTGTCGTTGTTGCTTTTCCTTGTGGGGGAGAAAGTGGCTCCTGCTCATCCTCTGTGTTCTGAGCCATTTCCTGTCCCAACAGTCCCTGGTGCTACAGTAGCAGGCACCGTGCATGGCCATTGGCCTTAATAACCTTTGCTGACTGTAGTGGGTGGGAGCCAAGGCTGGATTATTTTAATGTATCCGTTTTGAATCAGTGTAAAATGCAACATATAATTATGTTAGGTAAGCAATAGGCTACATTTAATTTGCCCATTTATGTTAAAATTTGGCTCAGGAGAGCAGAGAGATGTGGAAAATGAGTGGGTGTTTCATTTCATAACATAACCAGGTTCTTGTTGTTAAAGTTTTAAGAGAGAAATGTTCTTCCGCATGTAAAGGCGTCCCTGACAAGTTATTTATAATGGTTTAATTCTGAGGTGAGTCATGCCTCTCTGCTTGTCATTGTGGTCTGCATAAATCATCAGGGAACCTTGTTCTGGAGGCAGCCTGCTGCTGCAGGGACTGGTCCCCTGTTTGTGGCTCCCATAGTTGCAGGGAATGAGGGAGCTGAAGAGCAGTTTTGTTTATTTGTTTTGGGTGAGGTTAAT